CTGCTGGTGGGAATGTAAATTAGTTCAACCATTGTGGAAAGCAGTATGGAGGTTCCTCAAAAAGCTCAAAATAGACATACCATTTGACCCAGGAATTCCATTTCTAGGAATTTACCCTAAGAATGCAGCAGCCCAGTTTGAAAAAGACAGATGCACCCCTATGTTTATCGCAGCACTATTTACAATAGCCAAGAAATGGAAGCAACCTAAGTGTCCATCAGTAGATGAATGGATAAAGAAGATGTGGAATATTATTCAGCCATAAGAAGAAAACAAATCCTACCATTTGCAACAACATGGATGGAGCTAGAGGGTATTATGCTCAGTGAAATAAGCCAGGCGGAGAAAGACAAATACCAATTGGTTTGCGGAGAAAGACAAATACCAATTGGTTTCACTCATATGTGGAGTCTAAGAACAAAGGAAAACTGAAGGAACAAAACAGCAGCAGAATCACAGAACCCAAGAATGGACTAACAGTTACCAAAGGGAAAGGGAGTGGGGAGAATGGGTGGGAAGGGAGGGATAAGGGTGGGGAAAAAGAAAGGGGGCCTTACGATTACCATGTATAATGTGGGGGCATGGGGAGGGCTGTGCAACACAGTGAAGACAACTAGTGATTCTACAGCATCTTCCTATGCTGATGGACAGTGACTGTAATGGGGTGTGTGGGGTGACTTGGTGAAGGGGTAGCATAGTAAACATAATGTTCTTCATGTAATTGTAGATTAATATTAAAATTTAAAAATTAAAAAAAAAGAAAAAGATCAAAAACTGCAATGTCCATCACTATGGGACTGGTTTGATTATAACACACTCTCATGATGGAATGCCATGCAGTAATAAGAAAGCATGAAGAGTTTATGTGATTTAGATTACTAAATAGTCGCAGAAAAATAAAACATTCTCCCATTTGTGTAAAAGAGGCAAAAATTTATACTTTTAACTTCTTGTGCTGTGTATGTTGTAATGTTGCATTTCACTAAGGGTGCAGAATAAACTAGTATCAGTTATTGTCTGTGGGGAGGTGAACTGAACGACTGGGAAAATAAGTAGGAAACACTTTGTTGTATATCCTTTTATACATTTTGATTTTTAAATTATGTGATTGTACCTACTATTCAAAAGACTAACCCAAAGGAAAACAAACTATTATATTTTCTGAATTTCTTAAATCACCAACCCTTTTAAACCAAAGGCGAGGGTGCTGTACTTACCCTCAGCTTAACTGTCTCCTGAGGGGAATTAGCTCCTATTCCTGATTGATCACCTAGCATGTAAGTCTGATAGCCCAGCTGATCCTCTCAGCCATCTGCATGAGGCTTACTTCGTCTCCCATCTTGGAGAAGCTGGGCTGCAGAACTGATCCTTGTTGGGGCACTGTGTGTGTGGCCTGGAAGCTGGTTCTCCCTGCATGCTCCTTCCTCCCCTCCTGCCACAGTAGTTCCGCCAGCACGCAACAACGCTGGCTGCATGTGAAGCACTGGGAAAAGCGTGGGGATGTTACAGCCACACCGATAAAAGCAAGAACTTAAACATCCAGTAAGAACATGACACCAAGGGATTTGGATTCAAAATTTTAATAATAAATTGTGCCAGTAGAAGCTTTTCAAAGGTAATGATATATCAATAAATAATAGTTAAATTGAGTTCCTGAGAAAGAACCTACCACATGAAAGTATGTCAGAGCGCTGTAAATAACAACATGGCATTACTATAAAATAGCGAAAATACTGACAGTCACGATACAAGCACAGCAGACTTCAGAATTTGCCATTCATACAAATGTAAACCAGTACACAATAATCTTTTTTTTTTTAGTTTAGACATTGATAAACTCATGGGTGGTGTTGTCTAGATATATACTAAATAATGGATACATTATGCTAAAGACTTCAAGGAAAAATATGTGGAATAATGTAATGGAAAATATGATGCATCAGATTTTTAAAAAGCAAAAAAAAATGAACTTTTTACTCAAATATAAATCACTTTAAATAGGAATCATACTAATTTGAAATACAGAATATTTTGTGTATTTATGTAGTTCTATATACACCTATACTTCTAAGAAAATACATATGGCTTAATTATTTTTTTACTCTGTCACTTTGAATAGCCTTGCTGTTTCACAAAAATTAGAAAAATGTGTATTTAAAACCAAGGTAAGATTGATACTTCAAAGCACACCCAAAAACTAACGTCGAAGAACCCTACACTGAATTTTGTCCTGGTACCACCTGAGCTAAGACAATCGGAGCGGTCGTATCACAGGGACCTTTCAGCACGGGCATCTGCTGGCAGTAGGGTGGCAGCTACGGGATCCCCCATATCACCTACACCAAGGCTGCGAGAGCACACTGGCCTGCGGAATGGACAGGGCTCCGTGGTGAACTCACACTGTGCTGGCAGAGCTAAGTAACCCCTTGGATGTATACAAGTTCAGTATACGACAAATGTTCAAGTTTACCCCCCGCCCCCCGAGAATCCAATCATAGCCAAGACACACACAAAAATTGGTTCTCAGTTACACATCTGCATTTCTTTAACAAAACAGTAAGGGATACAATCACAGAGAAGAATTCACCCACACGATACTTTATCAGCACACTGTCTAGAACATCTCATTTAAAGACACTCAGTAAAAGCATATTCACAGAACCTGCTGTGAATGGCAAGATACGGTTATTTCATAATAGGAAAACCCTGCTCATGCAGTATTCTACACACCAGGCATCTGAAATCACACCCACATAATCACCTTGCTCACACTTTCTATTATACTTTAATATGCAAAAAGCGGGGGGAGGGGGGTAAGCAGCTTTTAACACTATAGCACAATTATGACATGTGGGAAAATATAAAACAAAAACGACTGTGTGACTAAAATGTTATCAGTAACATCAGAACAGTGTTATCTTTTTTTTTTACATTATTGCACAGAGATTTCTTATCACACGTTCTTCAGTTTTTATGTCTTTTCCTAACTGTGAATAAGTGCTATGGATAAAATACAAATGTAGAAAATAACAGCAGCATGATTTGTCAAAGTTAATCCCTATAATTTAGTAAGAAAAATGGCAATAAACAAAATAAGTGCTCTTTCTAAACTGTACTAAATTTTAAAAAATATTGTTTTAATGCAGTGAAGGTCCTCAAAGGCCAATCCAAAGCAGTGCTGGCAACCTGCCTTCCCCGATTCCAGCAGAATGTAGAAATAAAGATCTGCTGGACTTGAGCCTTTTTCATAAAGCTTGTTTGTTTGGGGGTTTTTTTGGTGAAGACCAGAATTTCAAGTGAAGGAATCATCGGACTGACCGCCATCCGGCCGACTCGGCGCTCCGGGCACCCCGGGCCTCGGGGGTGGGCGACGGGGCGCCGCCTATACGTACACGGGCTGGCAGCCCGCAGCCGGGCCCGCCGGGTCGGGGTTCTCCACGTCGGCGTCCTCGGCCTGCACGGCTTCCGCTCCCGATGGCTTCGGGCACCGGAAGGGGTAGCCGTTGTCATCGAAGAACCTCCGGAAGGTGAACTCATAAAACGCATGCTCGGGGTGTTTGCTCCCGGGGGAGGCGAGCGGGTCCCAGGCCTTGGAGCTGTCTGCACTAGCGCCGCGCCACGGGCTCTCCTCATCCACGGGGTCGAAATTCGAGGTGTCCATGGGGTGGCTGATCTTGGGAACGTAGGGGGCTGGTTGCTTCCGGATGTCCCGGGAGAAATCCAGGGCGCCGAAGAAAGGGTGAGCCTTGAGGTCGTCAGCCCCATTCCTCCCCAGCCGCCGGTCGGCGGCGCAGCACAGCGCGGTGATGAGGTCTCGGGCCTCCGGGCTCAGCTGCACCTGCGCCGGAATGTGGAGTGTGTTCTCCCAGTTGATCACCTGGAGAGACAGCAGAACCAGATGCTTAGTTCTCTCCACATTTCAAGGCCAGCCCAGGGCAGTTCCGGGGCCGTATGTGATGCCGCGATGTTTAAGCAACTTCACAGGACAGCCACAGAACAGCGGCTGTGGACCTAAGCAGCTGTGAAAGACCAGCGCGGCCCTAAGTGGGGGCTCACAGCCTGAGGCAAAGGATCATGCAGCCAAATACAGACCAGGTGAGATTCATCTTCTTCTATCCAAAATACTCTTCAGCAAAAGAATTTTTGTGTTCTTCACAAAAATGAAGACACTGGTCTCTTCTATGAGCTGTTTCTTTACCTTCTGGCAACAGATTTCTGTGGAAGCCACATGGTTCTCATTCACTACTTACTGTGCTCTAGAGATGGTCAACTGGGATTTTGTTTAAAAAGAGCAACCTCACAAGAAGAAAGCAGCTTACACTAATGGCTTTGGCCTCGGACTTATGATGTGCAACTGCACAGACCACCCGTGTGGATGTTTGGTAAATGCATTTGTGTATAGATCTGTGTTTACTGTGAAGAGAAAAACTTCTTTATGTTTGTACTTAGAATCAGGATTAATACAACTGGCTACTGGCTGGGGTCATCAGGCACTGGGCAAGGCATGGGTGGGGTACAGGGGTAAAAAGGCTGGTTTGAACCTGAGTAGTTGTTTTAGTAGAGCTAAAATTATAAAACTCACAGAATTAAACGAAGTGGAAAATCTCCACACACTGGATTTGGCAATGATTTCTTGGATATGATACCAAAAGCATAGGCAACAAAAGAAAAAACATATAAAATGGACTTCATCAAAATTTAGAACATTTTTACCAAAAATGAAACTAACAGAGTGAAAATGCAATCAGTCCACAGAATGGGAGGATATATTTGCAAAGCGTATATATGGTAAGTGATTAATATCCAGAATATATAAAGAACTCCTACAACTCAACAACAAAAAAAAACAAGCAAGCTGACTAGCAGAACAGAGGGCAAAGAACTTGAATGGACATCTCTCCAAAGAAGATATACAAGTGTCCAATAAGCCAGTGAAAAGAGGCTCAACATCATTAGTCATTAGGGAAATACAGATCAAAACCAAAGTGAGATTTCACATCACACCCACTAGGTTGGCTACTGTTTAAAAAAAAAAAAAGGAAAATAAGTGTTAGTGAGACACTGGAACCTTTGTGTGTTGCTGGGGGGAATGTAAAATGGTACCACCACTGTGGCAAACAGTTTGGACGTTCCTCTTTTTCTAGTTAAGGGGTTAATAATGTAAGGTCTACCATGGACTCTGGGGCATATGAATACTTCCTAGGATTGTTAGTAAACATATCAGTGGGTAAGTGCCCTGTTCTGTTCTGAGAAGTTCCAAAGATTTCATCAGATTCTCAATTTGGTCCTTCTTAGGTAATCAAATAATTTATTTTGGAGAGTAAAAGGCCATCATTCTTAAATGAATTATTCAGTACTAAGTGATTAATTGGAAAAATAATCATTTAATTACCTCAAGTGAATATTAGAAATATGCACAACTAGCTTGACCACGTGACAGATACTTTGCAGATAGTACTGCTGTAACATGCAAATAAGCAAACCGATTTCTTTGATATAGTTACTAAAGTCTGCTGTGTTTTTTGGCCCGGGGTCGGTGGTACAGAGAATGTGTCTGCAGGGTACCTTTACTGCTTCCCTCTATCACAGTTCTCATCTGGCAACACCAAGATGGCAGAGGCCCAATGGTTCAAGTAAAACTTCAGATACACATACGTATCAAGACTCAGGTCTAACTCTGTGGCTTTACTTATTAAAATAAAAAATACATAAATAGGTAATAACAGTAATACTTAATAAAATCCCATCATATACAATTGGCATTCCTACACTATACAGAATAAAGGTCAAATGTCAATCAAAGATTCAGGGGTTCATGAGAAACCCAGGTATCTCTGCAGCAAGCAGATGCAGGCCTCCCTAGTTACCTTCAGCTGGGTTTCTGTGGGAGTAGGGGCCAGAAAGGGTGGCTGCCCCACCAGCATCTCGAAGAGAATCACCCCGACACTCCACCAGTCACAGAGCTGGGTGTATCCTGGAAGACAAAGGATCGCTCAGTTGTAACGCAGGCATGTATTCTTCCTGAAGAATTGTATGAAACCCCGAAATACTCATTTACCATTAGGTGGGAAAGCACGAGCAGACAGCATACATGGTATGTAAATGAAAGCCGACTGACATAAAGTGTGTCTCCTTGCACGTGTGGCGCAGACCAGAAGGCTGGAAGGGACCCCCGCCAGGGAGAGACAGTTTCCCTGTGGGAAGGAATGTGCTCACTCGTGTTTCCTTATTTTCAGTCATTAGTCTGTGATAAACACAGGGTGCTTTTGCAGTAATACTTTTTAATTAAAAATATTACTGTAATTGTTAGTAACAATACTAAGCATAATTTTATCTTGAACATACAAACAGACACAAACTAAAACAGTACTAACTAAAAACAGAATGTGCTGTGACCTGAGAATGGCAGTTGTGCCCAGTCATGAGGGCTTCTGGGGAGGTTTTCTAGGTCAGTTGAGAAGAAACTGAGGAATATGGAGAAGTGGAGAAGAGGAGCACTTCGGCAAAGGAGGCTGTCACCTAAGGTGCATTCTTTGTGAAAGGCGCCCAGGGACCTCCCAGGAGGCAGCAGGGGCCAGGGCCAGCCTCAAAGACACTGCAGAGCAGGTTCACGTCTTCCACTTTTCCTCCAGAGCCCCCATCCTAGCCCAAGCCATGCTCCAGTGTTTATGTTACCTAGACCTTGCCAAGTGTGAGCTGGACCCTAAGACCTGCCAGCAGGAGCGGTGGGTACGGTTCCTTAGCTCCCCTCCATCCAGCTCCCTGCCTCAGTCTGGCACTGAGCCTGCAGAACAGCTCTAACCGCTGGTTCCTCGGGGCAGCTGCACACGCCGGGCGCCGCAGAGGACGGAGGGCACGGGTCAGATAAAGGATCGCTCAGTTGTAACGCAGGCATGTATTCTTCCTGAAGAATTGTATGAAACCCCGAAATACTCATTTACCATTAGGTGGGAAAGCACGAGCAGACAGCATACATGGTATGTAAATGAAAGCCGACTGACATAAAGTGTGTCTCCTTGCACGTGTGGCGCAGACCAGAAGGCTGGAAGGGACCCCCGCCAGGGAGAGACAGTTTCCCTGTGGGAAGGAATGTGCTCACTCGTGTTTCCTTATTTTCAGTCATTAGTCTGTGATAAACACAGGGTGCTTTTGCAGTAATACTTTTTAATTAAAAATATTACTGTAATTGTTAGTAACAATACTAAGCATAATTTTATCTTGAACATACAAACAGACACAAACTAAAACAGTACTAACTAAAAACAGAATGTGCTGTGACCTGAGAATGGCAGTTGTGCCCAGTCATGAGGGCTTCTGGGGAGGTTTTCTAGGTCAGTTGAGAAGAAACTGAGGAATATGGAGAAGTGGAGAAGAGGAGCACTTCGGCAAAGGAGGCTGTCACCTAAGGTGCATTCTTTGTGAAAGGCGCCCAGGGACCTCCCAGGAGGCAGCAGGGGCCAGGGCCAGCCTCAAAGACACTGCAGAGCAGGTTCACGTCTTCCACTTTTCCTCCAGAGCCCCCATCCTAGCCCAAGCCATGCTCCAGTGTTTATGTTACCTAGACCTTGCCAAGTGTGAGCTGGACCCTAAGACCTGCCAGCAGGAGCGGTGGGTACGGTTCCTTAGCTCCCCTCCATCCAGCTCCCTGCCTCAGTCTGGCACTGAGCCTGCAGAACAGCTCTAACCGCTGGTTCCTCGGGGCAGCTGCACACGCCGGGCGCCGCAGAGGACGGAGGGCACGGGTCAGATGTCCTCCCCCATTGCCCCTCTTTGCGAGGAGGGGAGGAGACCTTCATGGGGAAGCAAGGCTGACGTTCACAACAACGCGTCAAGGTAGATATTGTTACCTAAGCGGCTGAGTAGGTAACTAATTTGCCTTGGAATACCAGAGCTAGCAAAGAAAACTCAGACTAGAACCGAGAATCAAGGCTCCAAAGACTTAAAACAACACAGGTGAAAAGAGAGTCCACCGATCTCTGGGTTATCACAGAGATGAGATCAACAAAGCACGATTGCTATGGGCCATGCAACTGATCACTGAAAGAGTCCTCTTGTCCTCCAGTCAGGATGTCATAGCATTCCAGAACAGAGTACTCCCTCCAGGAGACTGGTTTTACTGAGCATCTGCAATGTTAGGCATGCTATTTCCCCCAAATCAAGGTGCTTCTGCACTGACGGGAGGAGTGCAGGACAACAGCATTTGTACTCTGTCGCACTTAACAACCAGCTGGAGACGGTACAACCAGCCAGGAGCCTGGGCAGGTAGAGTGAAAGCTCAGCCTGGAATCGCACTGATCAGGCAGACTGAGTACTGTCCCTGCGATCCTCAGCGTTGCTTCTATCATACAACTCTGCCAAAACCAGTTCTGGAGTGATTTCCTGGGGCTCCCGGTAGAAAGCCTCCACCGCCACCCAACCAATCACTTCCCAGCCAAAGGAAGGGCAAGTGGGGGCTCGTGGGTGGGGGGCCATTTTCTCTCTCAGTGGAAACAAGGGCAGTCCCAAAACAGACAGGAGAGGCACTGGACATTTGTTGGCTAAAGGAGTAACTTCTGCTCTCAAGTTTCATGGATACAAAATACCAAGGTGGTGGTGACAGTCCTGTAAGCTGGGCCTGGAGAGGCTCTGGGTGGCCACCTGGCCCCATGGGCTCGCTGTCTGGTGGCCTCTGGCCGGCAGCTGGCCTGTGACGGGCTGGAGGCACGCACCTTTTCGGAGGAGGACTTCTGGCGCAATGTAGTTCGGGGTCCCGACCAGGGAGTGAGCCAGGCACCTCTGATGCTGCTTCCTGACCCTCTGCTCCAGAGTCTTTAGCCTGTCTCCACACTGGCAGTTGGACACATCGTCCCAGAGGTCACTGGGCTCCATGCTGTCCTGTCTGATGTGGCTCCCTTTCACCCAGGATTCAGGAGGGTGACAGAAGAGAATAGAAACAAAGTAAATTTTCACTATTCCATATAGCTTCATCCATGAAGCTAAATCCATATAGCTTCAAAGGTAAAATAACTCAATTCAGCTCCTGCCACATTAAAATTAAGAATCCTCCCCAACTGCTCCCGAGGGTGGCCTACAGTTCCTAGGCGTGAGACACAAGCTTGGAGGTAAACACAAACCCCAGGACAGGAGTGAAGCTGAAGCTGGGTGCAGGGCTGAGGCGACAGTGTGACGCTGAGCAAGAGGGGCTTAGATAATGGGGGAGTATCATTTTTAGCACTTCTCAGGCCAGAAGTCTGAGACAAACAAAAACCTGTTTAACAGGACATGTTTTAAGATGAACACAGAAAAAGCATGAGAGGATTTTAAAAATATGAACAAAAGTGATTTTGATGCCAGAAAATGGGAATTAATTAAATGACTTAGGATTAGTTTTGAATTAAAAAATAGAAGCCTGAGCTATAGTATTAGAAATCCTATTTCAAGAATCTGAGCCATAGAAAAGATAATAAACGATGGAGTTAAACGACACCTGTGCCTACAGACGGACTGAGGGCAGCCCTAAAAGAGGACTCCTCGGGGGCCCAAGGCTTGTTCCACGAGGGAAGAGGGTGACTCCCCACAAAGGCCCTGTGATACACCATAGCCTATTGTCCTAAAAATATCATAATAAAGCTTAAATCCACTAACTTAAAAAAAAAATTCTCACACATATCATACTATTTCTTCAGGGAGAAAGCATGTCACACCAAATTATGAAGTAACGGAGTAACAGATAATTTCAAAATGACCAGCGGGGTGGGGAGCTGCTGCCCGATGGGTCGGTTCTGTGTAGGCATAGGAAGGAAAGTACCTTTCTGATAGTACTTGGAATTGTGGGTCCACCTGAATCCAGTGCAGAGGCCGAAATCCGTCAGCTTTATGTGACCATCGAGATCTATCAGAATGTTGTCTGGCTTGATGTCTCGGTGGATGAAGCCCATCTTGTGGACGCTCTCAATGGCCAGGGTCAGCTCTGCAATGTAGAACCGGGCCAGGGGCTCGGGGAAGACCTCCATCCGGATCAGCAGGCTCATCATGTCGCCCCCCGGGATGTAGTCCATGACGAAGTACAGGCTGTCCTTGTCTTGGAAGGAGTAGTAGAGTTTGACCACCCACTCGTTGTCTGCCTCAGCCAGGATGTCCCTCTCGGCCTTGACGTGGGCCACCTGATTCCGGTTCAGGACATCCTTCTTCCTCAGCGTCTTCATGGCATACAGGGCGTGAGTGTCCACCTTGCAGGCCAGGCACACTTCTCCGAAGGCACCGATCCCTAGGGTCTTGATTTTCACAAACATGGACTTGTCCATCTTTGCCCTCTTCAGCCTGTTGTAATTAGACTCCTTCTGGTAGAGGATCTTCCTCATCTGCTCCTGCTCAGCTTCACAGAGCCCAGCCTGTGGAGAAGGGAGACAGGGACGTCACAGCAGATGAGCTGCACGACAGGGGACGGCCGGGGCGGGGGTCGCCCTGGAACCGAGAGGACCCTGACCTGACTTACAGGACACAGAGCGGTCCCGTATACTACAAGCAAGATAATAATCAGCTTTGTTCTTTGTATCTATATGTACACAGTAATCTGGAATCCAAGGGAGTGACAAAATAGGTGACTTTGGGCTATAAAACGAAAGGGAGCCTCAATAAATAAAAATCTGTAGAAAAAGGGCCACAGAATTCCTGGAACTCTAAGCAATTTAGTATTTTAATAGCTCAGGGAAAAAAGGAAAACAAAAGAAAAAAAGTCAGTGAAAATGGGACAGCAGAAAGAAAGAGCACACATTTAGTTTTTAGAATTTGAAATGACTGGCTTTGTGATTTAAATTTACTATAGCATTTTAATTTAAATAATTCATTATTACCTTCTCTAACAGTTTAGTTTCAACCAAACTGTATTTAAAACATCATTTGCTAATTATAGGCTTAAATGGGTCAGTACTAGATATGTACTTCTTTATTAATCCCACAATTTAATTTAAATTTATAAAACCTCAAACTTTGTTTCTGCTTTCAAAATGTTTCATACTAGTTGGTAGAACTCAATAAATTTTGTTAGTAAATAAGGACACATCCTAAGAATCAACTTGGTAATCTGCTGTTGGCTACATCACAGACAGCCGTCACTGACCCCTGGAGGAGCCACCTTTGCAATTTCCACGTGTCCCCCCATGGCCAGATCATCTCCCTGCAACACCAATGGTGTGTAATAAAAGTGCGTGAGGCCAGAAGTGGGAAGGCATCTGCTGTGAGTCCTGCTACCTACTTAGGGAAGAGCCAGGCCCCAAAGGGCAATGCAATGAGAAATTACTTTTGCCATTTCTTGTTCCAGCTGCAACCTCCGGTTGACCTTCTGTTGGTAGGTTTTTATGACATTTTCCACGTGCTGCTCCATGAAGAACTTAAAAGCATACGGTGAGTAACTCTTGATACGGGATTCTCTCTTCTCTTCATCTCTGCTGTTTTTCCGAACAGGAACAGGAGAGGTCTGGATCTGCTTTTTATCCTTCCCCGCCTTGTCCCCTTTGGCGTTTTTGTGGCCCTTGTCACTCCGCTCAGGGGCCTCTGTCGCCTGGGCGCCCCGGAGGCCCTGCTCCACATCCACGCACAGGCCGTCCACATCGAACTGCTGGGACTGGCTCCGAAGCAGCAGGTGCTTGGGGTAGGGCGGGGGAGGGCACCTCACGTCAGGGCTGCCATACTCAACCTCCAGCGGGCACGCACCGGCGCCTCCCAAAGGCAGGGGGTGCTCCTCCTGGGAGTCCAGACCCTCCAGCCCTGGGGAGGGCGCTGGCACCCAGGCTGGATGGGAGGGTCCCACGGCTGTCTGGGGCTCGGGCCGCATCACTCTCACGCTCTTCACGGGGTGCAGGATGTGAGCGGCCGTCACGGCTGTGATGGTGTTGGGGGAGGGCATGGCAGGCTCGGTCTTGCCAGACAGCCCTGTCCGGACGGGCGCGGCCACAGGTTGCTGGTGGCTGTTGAAGGAGTTGGCTCTGCTGGGGACAGGCCCTTCGGGCAGGAACGCCACGTGCTGGCGGGGAGGCGCCTCCAGGCCCGGCTTCTGGACAGAGTCGCGGCGGGACAGCGAGGACTGCCACTGCGGCAGGGTAGGGCTGCTCATGTCGTAGAGGTCCACGGTGAGGCTGTTTCTGGAGGGGGGGATCAGACTCGGGGGCGGGCTGTCACTCGCGAATACCTGGCCCCGGGCACCCACTATATGCAGCTGGGGGGCCTGTTTGTGGTGCGGGTGTGGCACGTACAGGCCTGCCGCAGTTCCCGAAGGCGCAAAAGTGTGGCCGGCCCCGGGCTGCCCGGCCGGGCCCTTGGCAGCAAGGTTCGAGTACCCTCCCGCCTCCTTGTTTTGGAAGGAGGGGCTGCGCTGGACGCCATAGCCCAGGGGCTCCCCGGGCGCCAGCAGATGTGGCCGGTAGTGGGGGCCCCCCGGGCTGGCCACAGGGAAGCTCATCCCCGAGGCCTCCATGCTGGCAGGGTAGCCCTGGGGCGGGGGCTGAGCGCCGCCGGGCGCGCCGGCCCCCGCGAGGAGGAAGTCGGCGTACTGGCGGGGCCCCTCCTGCAGCGCGCCCACACCTGCGCCCTCGAAGGCTGCCGCGCCCCCCTGGCGGTAGGGCGGGAAAGGGCCAGCCGCGGCTTCAAAGCTCGGCCTCCGTGGCGCGGGGGCTGGTGCGGCCCCCTTCCCTACAGAGGAGAGAACAGGAAGACAACGTCAGAGGGGCTGCGCGGCTGGCTCGGCTCTGCTAAGACTGAAGGCCCAGGCCCAGGCCGAATTCTGCCGTGGGTGATCCAGGCTACCTTCGGGGTCAGAAGGCTCTGCTCTGCCCACCGGAGACCCTTCACGGGACTACCTGGCAGAGCCAAGGCCCTCGGCAGCTATGGCGTCATGCCAGTCACAGCCAGACATGGCTTCCTGGCAGAGGGGATGCACCAGTGAATACGCATCAAGGGCAAATGTGTTAAGTCCCAGAGCAGGGGCTGCCGCGCCCCTGGGGAGCTGTGCTCTGAGACCCTGAGCACGTGACATGGATGGCCAGCTGGGCACCAGTCATAGAAATTCCTTCTATCAAGAAGAAAACAGAAATTTGTGTCCTTTTAAAAATGAAAATACAACATACAAAGCCTGTGTAAATCTCTCACCCAACAGATGCAGTGGATTTTCTCCAAGGCCTTCCACAAAATAAGGAAAACTCTTTCTGCTGAATATCATGAATCCCTTATCGTGGGGCCCTCAAGTACCAAAACACTGTCCCGTTTGCTCTGTCTTGGAAGAGGGGCACTCCCTGACGGCCAGGGGGGGAGATTCGGGGCGCCCCGGCTCTGAGAGGCGCCTGCCCTGGGCGGCCCGCCGCGGGGGCTACGGTGTGAGCAAAGGTTTTAGAACCTGTGAAATTAACTTCCCTTTTTAAATCCTGGCCCCCACCACCAGCCCAAGAGAAAGTAAAAAGAACACTTTTACTCTCTCTGCCCGGTTGCCTAATTTTAATATCCAGTGAATTTTCGATCTTTAATGAAATAAAACAGAACAAAACAAGCACACGCCCCACCCACCCCAGAAGGATCGCAGATTCTTTCAGGCAGGGGAGGGAGGGCCCCGTGGGAGTCCCGCTCGCTCACGGCCAGGGGCAGTGCACCGAGGGACGTCTGCTGCGCACAGCCCCGAGAGGCCGCCTTCCTGCACACTGGTCTGTGTTTGAATTACAGATCCTCTCCACGCACAGCGGTGCTAGTCTGGGCTCACCTGGGGAGGTCTGCTTAATGACACGCACAATCTGCTCATTCCTCGGGTCCAGGTAGCCCATCTTACTGATGTACTCCAGGGCGGCTTCAATACTCCTGCTGCCGGTCTGCTTGAGGGCTCTGCCAGCCATCTCCTGGGAGGGGAGCACACAGGTAATTCCAAGGGAGGTGCAAGGGAGCGTCATCTTAAAAGAAAGCCACCTGCTTTCCCTCTGGTGCCTGACTGTGACGCTCGCTCGCCTCTGTGACTGCTGGGCCCTGCAACAAGCTGCAGACAAGTCTCAGAAGGAGCACAGTTGGCTACACGTTCTCAGATGCCTAATGACAAGCTTTGAACACATGCCAAACTATAGATTGTTTAGTGTGGGTCTTGAACATACAGGGATTTGGGGGGAGACCTGAGAAAATCGTTAAGTTCTGTTTCTCCTTAGAAAGCTTCCATGATTAGACTGATAAATTCTGCTTTGTGGATAAACCCAAAACTAGAAGTTTCAGGTGAAGAAGGGTAGAAGTCAGAGAAGCTGGCTTTAACCCAGAACCACCTGCAGCCTAACCTGGAAGGGGAACCATTGCAACCCTGAGGTCAGGACCAGGTGACATGCCCTCAGGGAAGGGAACGGTTACCAGAGTCATCTGTGGAAAGCTTACTGAATGCCTACTGTTCACGATGCCCTGTGCCGGCTACAGCAGTTGCACTCGGGGCCTTGGGCGGCTGGGGAGAGAGAAGATGCGACTAAAGCAGCTGGTGAAGTGGCGGCTGGCACAGGGCAGGTCCTTTAAAAGAACTGTGAGATGAATTCAGGCAGAAACTGGTGACCACTGTGGGTAGATGCAGGTAAAGTGGACGAGGGTTAGAGGACAGAGATTCCTCCTGCCAAGCGAGAGATGGAGGAGATGGTGGCATTTCAAGGACAGACAGGATGTGGGCAGACAGGGATTGCCGGAGAGAAAAGCCAGGCTCGGCAGAGCAGGGGCCTGGGGAGTGAGGGCTCGAAGAGGAGGCAGAGGGCCTTGCAGGCGGGGGCCAGCCTGTCCTGGATTGTGCCCCAGTTAAGCACAGCTGTGGAAGCTTCCAGCAGGGCCCTAGGTAAGAGAGGAGCAATCTGGGCAGAGCCAGAGGCATTCTCAGGTGGGGGTTGGGACAGGCCAGGCTACGGGCAGACAGGGGGGCAGGTTAGCTCTCTGAGTTGTGGGCAAGAAGAACGCACAAGGATGGAGAAAGAACCCTCAGAGGGCCAGCCTCCTAGAGACAAGGATGGGCAGGGCAGAGGAGCAACAGGGGGCTCTGCAGAAGGGAACACTGGGCACGGTGGGGGCCGAGGGGCAGGCAGGCAGGAGGACACAGAAATGCAGAAGGCAGGGGCAGGGTGGCAGGGAATGAGGGATCTGTGAGGCTGGAAGGGAGCATGGAAAAGGAGACCCCTGTAACTCAGAGTGGAGAGAGCCAGGGGGAGGGTGCTGAGGCACCCCAGGATGCTGGGGGAACCGCAGGGCTGTTCTGCTGCAGGAAGACTCAGAGGCCACACTGGAGAAGCACAGCAGCTTCTCCGACACAGAACAAAACTGTCTCCCTGCCTTCCTCACTCTGAGCTTTTCAAGGCTGACCTGGAACTTCCCAGGCCCTGCTGTGTCCTGCTGTTCCCTGGACAGGGCACTGTGCACCTGCAATCTGTGTCAGCCCTGACTGTCCATGTGCCTGTCTCCTCCTCAGGGACTGGGAGGACCTGGGACCCTGACACACCAGTTCCTCAGGAATGTATCCACCCATCTAATAGTGACTGGACAGTATAAGTGCTTAATGTCCATCTGATTATATAACATTAAACGAGTTCTCCACTCCCAGCCATATCCCTGCTGTGCAGCAGGACAAAGGACCTGGCTGTACTTGGCTATGACCCGTGCCTGTATTCTTAGCAATGCAAGCATGAGATGTCACAAGACAGTGGGAAAGAGAAGGGGCGAGGAAGAGACAGCCTGAGACGGAGGGCCCAGGTGACAGCAGGCGGGCGGACACGTGGGGTGTGTGCAAGGAGGCGGAATCCGGAGCACAGGAACATAAGGTGACAGCTGATGAGGCAGACTGGGAATGGTAATAAGAACAGAGCTGTTTTTCAAAGGCAGCACTTGGCTTGGCAGAAAGGGCAAGTGTTTAAAACCTGGAAGAGCTGCGGGGAGAGACAGCATAGGTTCATGAGTAAACACTTCGGTGTCTTCCTGTGGACAGGAGGTAATGTGGCAGCCTCCCTACCTTCCCAGCTATGTTATGGGATGAGATCATGTCTGCCAAGAACCCTCGACAGTCTGGAGAAAGCTCTGATATAAGCCACATTTTCAGGATCACCCTAGAGCTTCTAGCACTCGTTTAAAAATGTGCCAACAGGCGTTGACCCTGATCATGAGCCCTTCAATCAGTGCTAACTGTTCGTTCTGCTTTGCCTGCAACATGATCGCCAGCTCCTGCTTCCTTCAGGGTGAACTGCCAGACATGTTCATTACTTCAGTACCTGCTAAATGTCAAGAGGTGCCCGTCCAGGACTGACCAAGTCAACATGTGTCTACTTTCAAACTCTCTCCCTATTTACTGGGAACTGATGACTTCAAGATTTGTACATTTACTGTGCTTCATATCTAGGAACTTAGCCAAGAAAATCAACAGGAGGAGACCACAAATAATGACTTGTGTTCACAGAGATGTTGCAAATCAGAAAACCTAAACACACTGATGAGCCTACGTATTCATCCAATAAAACCTCTGAATAACCCAGTCAGTTGGGTCTTGCCCTGGTCTGTCCACCACCCTCATTTAGCAAATACGTAGTTTTTATATATGGACTTTTGGAAGATGCTAGTACGCATACACATATAGCTAGGTTTTTCAAGCATAAGGAAGTCCAGAGCCATTTCGGAATCCCTCCAGAATACAACCCTTTCTCTTCTCTAGTTGGCCTGCTGTGTGCAGTGGACTGTGAGGCTCTATCTGACTCGGGTCCTCAGCTACCAAGACAGCAGCGAGGACTGTCACTTCAGGAAGTGACTGCAGACCTGCTGGGCAGAGAGGTCCAGAGAGGGGAGCCCACTGCCTCCACTGTCCCCACACAGTACCGGGCGCTGGGCTCAGCTGCCTGTGGGAGAAGGCATAGGCCTCAACTTGGAAGGTAAGCTGCCCCTCCTGGCACAGGGCAGGGGTTATGGTGGGCCTGAGGCTGCTATTACATATAGTAATGCTAGAGCACCCACAGGTGCCCAAATCCTGGCTTGAGCACAGGTGCGCCTCTGGGGGGGCACGTGCCTACACCTTGGTCATGAGCCATGTTTCCTGCTAACGAAGCATGTGCTTGGGCTTCTGCATAGCTGCCCTCCCTGCCCCTCACCCCTGCAGTACACACCATGGGTGAGCCTCTAGCATTCCCCCCCTCCCTGCTCCCTGTCCTCCCCCATCACCAGTCTGTCCCCGTGCATTCAGAGTCTGCCCACTAGACTGGGGGCCTGGTGAGCACAGGGGCAGCTGCTGTCTTGACTTTAATTTTGGTTTCTGTAGTAACTTCAGTAATACAAATCTTTTGAATTAAACTAAAAAGGCCCATAATATCTATAATAGAGAAAAGGAGAAAATAAAAACAGAGGGAGCCAGAGGGTGCCCTACTGAGGCCGGCATTCCGTGACCCCTCACTCACATCGGCTGAAAGCAAAGGAGGCCATCTTCCAGCTGGTCACGGGCCCCAACAGACGCGTCGCCTTCCCCATGCACCTCTCCAGTGAGTACTCGTCACTGAAGTGCTCCGCGGGAAGCGTGGCCCTCCACAACAGATCTGGGAGGGAGGGGGCTCCTGTGAGCCCCCTGGGCAGCGGGCCACCTGTCCTCCCTGCCGTTCTTCACTGCAGAATGTGGTTTCCACCGAGCTCAACAGGCAACAAGTGAGGGGCTCAGATGGGCCCCGGCAGGCAGAGCCGACCCCGCTCATCAAGAGGGGCTAGTAAACTCAGGGCTGCCGTGACAGGCAGTGGGCATGCAAAGGGGTCCCTGGGCTGTCCAGAACCCAGCACCACCTCAGACCTGCGGCACCTGGGGTCACGGCATCCCCCCACATCTGACTGCCAGGCTGTCCCTTCCCCACTCCCTGTCTGTCTGTTTCATTTTGACTATTTCACAAAGTTGCTCATCGACTTTCAATGGACTAATTAAGAAACAAAAACTATTGATCTGTCTTTTATCAAATTCATAATGAAAAATATTGGAGTGAAAAAACACAACACAGATCAACTCACAACAGCTAAAATACGTATCGAATTACTGGTGACTGAATTTGATAGCAGGGTACTATTCTACACCAAATGCAAGCCTGGGCCATGGAGATAGAGGAGAAATTGCTGTGACACGGAGAGGCTAAAATGTGTGGAAGCTGATATGGTCAAAAGCTGATCATGAATCCAACCTTCACCATAAAATGTAAAAGAATTGATTTTGATGAAAATATAAATAAAAATTATCAGAAACTGTTTAGTTTCTAACTAATCCTAGCTTGGGGATTGACAAATACTGAGATGACTTTAGGCAGGCTGCAGATAAAGTCACTGGAGCTTTACTTCCCAAGCTCTCCCCAAATCAGGACATGTGGTCCTGCACCTGCCGCCCACAGAAGCCTGGATTCCTCTGTCTGCCAGGCTCTGCCACAGATCCTGTGCGGTCCTTCGTTTCCCCGCTAGCTGACAAGAGACCAAGGAGACTCACACAGAGAAGAGACCCACCAAAGGCCCTGGACACCCAGCAGGGCTGGCCCACGGTCTCCCAAACAGTCAGCAACAAGGAGAGAAAGCTCACAGGCAATGTGGTGGCTCCTCTCTTGGACAAGCCGCCAGGAAGGGAGAGACTGAAAATCAGGGTAGAAGCTGCCCCCTCTGCCCACTGTCCACCGTGGGCCAGACACCATGTGCCCGGTGCAAGCCAACAGGGAGCAAGGGTGCCCAAGGCCACGTCCAGGCACAGCGGGCTGGAGAGGGACCTGGTGCCCTCGGGTTAAGCAAAAGCATGTGCAAAGATACAGAGACAAGTGCAGTCAGGGGAAGCAAGAGGCTGGTGGGAGACGGTGTGAGGGAGCTGAGGCTGACTCCTGGCGTCGGGGCCTTGGAGCCAAGC